TGCTGAAGAAAAGTTATGTTTTCAGTACACAGCTGGAAATACTAATTTACCACAGAAACACGTATCAAACTAATAACATGTCTTTATCCAGGCTCTCAAAATATTAAAGCATTGTGAATAGGGCCTACTTCGTAGAAAGATAAAAAGTCATGAATATATATGCTGCATATTACCAAATCTATTTAAGGTTATTTCATGCATCCTGTTGGTATAGCAATCAATAAAACAAATATCAAATAAACAGCGTCTTTATTTGTACTCTCAGAAAATAAGGCACTGCGAACACTTCACAGAATTGTTAAAAAAAATGAAGCAAAGATAGGCCAATGCTTCCTACTACCAAATCTAAAAAAGGTAATTTCGGTCGATGCCATTTTGTCTACTTCGACTCACACGTAGCAGCCAACTGTCGGGTGGCCTGTCCGACCTTCAGTCTACCAAATACCACGACGCTCTTGTCGACCCTTTTTTAGCTACAAAAAAAAACCTGGTATGTGCTGCTTGGACAGAATGTCACTGAAATTTTCCGGGCGATGATCGCTGGCTGCGGCCAGCCTTTCGTTTAATTGTAAAAAGGTGATATCTCCATGTGCAAAACGACGGCCCCCGTTCTCTTTATGACTTTAATTGTCGTGTATTTTGAAATTAATGCTAGAGATGAATTTGACGTCAAAGCGGCCATATTTCCACGTGGTGATAATACGCATGCGCAGAAAGCTCATTTTCCGCACTCGGAACTACTCGGATGTCTCCGCATTCGACAATGACAGTACGGACCGCATTCGACAATGACAGTACGGAAGCTTGCGGAATAAGCCGAGGATTGCCGATTGCATTTTCCGGCAAATTCAATAACGACGTTTGCGACAACCGACTTCCTTGGGGGGGGGGGGGGTTTTTTTTTTTTTTTTTTTTTTGGAGAACGGACGAAAATCGGTGCGCGCGCAGGATGTCATCCATAAAAATAAAAAAGTGTGGCCTAACGTTTAGAAGATGCAATAAACTTCAATAAACACTTAGAAAATATAATAAACTGTCATAAACATTAAAAAAATATCACTTAATGATAAAAATGACAATTTCTTACTAATTTAAATTCTATCTTTGGAAGATTCTGTATATTTCGTGAACCGTCCCACATACTTCGCGGCAGTTCTCCTGTTCCCAAAAAGCCGATATAGACACAGAGTTCATATCTGGATATTTAGCCCAGACTTTATGTGAATAGGTACAATGGCGTATAATATGAGAAACTGTCTGAAATTGGCCACATATACACAGGCACTTTTCCAGTGGCAGGCGGGACCCACAACCACACCCTACAGCCAAGCCATGTTACAACAAACGAAGCCTAGTTGCAGCTATTCGCTCGTATTATTTTATTCCGCGATGGGTTAGGCTCGGAATTTGCTCGGTGTATAATGTTTTATACTAATAGGACTTCTGAACAAATTCTTGTATGCTTTCTATGTCTTTTCCATAGCGTTCCCGCTTGAAATCACTGCGCGCATAGTAGTATAACACGTAGCGTTTGTGTTATTAGTATTGCAAAGATTCCACATATAAATAATTGGGACTTTTAACATTCCGGCGCGGCCTTGAATGATTTTGAACATAAATTTGCGTTCAGCTTCCTTTACTCTCGCTTTCGCCGACATGGAGATTTTTTCAGAGACGAAGTCCGTTATGTGGTGGTCCGCACACCCAACGTTGCCTTAACTAAAGAACGATACACTAGTTCAACTACAGACAAGTCATTGGTACATGTAATGCACCTTCTACCAATGACAGTGCTTCTGCAGAAAATATTTAACTTTGTTCTTCGATGAAAATCGTTTTAAGGTATAGTTTAACCAGGGAATGAAGTTTTAACTTTATTTTATATCACTCAGTCTTTTTATATTTGAGAAAAATAAATGATAAATATATTAATATTTCTCAAATCAATTGTGTCTGTTCCCGTGCCTCCATATATCTTTTTTATTATTTCACTATATCTTTATGACTGAAACAAATGACACTCAATCGCAAAATTCCGGTTTGGGCTAAGGATACTCGATAAACTTTGCTTGACGTCATAATCTTTATAACGTTACAAATAACAGGCCTTGAGGGGTAATATCTAGACCGTGGAAAAACAGCCATATCCTTATCCATCCTAATATTCTTAAGAATATTTTGTTGTTATTTTATTGTTAGATAAATTTTATTGTTATTGAGGTCAGTAAATGGGACGGAATCGATAACAGCCCAGACAGTGAGGACGAATGTAAGAATGGACCCACCGGGCCGAGTAACGCGCGGACAAAAGACCGGGAAAATCTGATCTGTTTAGTTTCGAGTTTCTTCAGAAAATGTACAGAGGTTCAATTCCTTTTAACCGTTCGATCTTCAGGTGTAAGAGATATTCTAATTTATTGGAAGGTAATACTTAAGAGCTGCATGAGTACCATCAACTTTGCAGCGATTCTTTAGAAAATGGCAATGACAACTAGGACGGAAGTGTTTAACTTTAAAACGCACTATTAATTCCCCTGGAACCAATCCCTCTCCTGATTTATAGTGGACTGAAAAATGCACCGTTCCAATCCAGTTATTCCCCCCTTTTATCGGTTTTCTTGGATTTTGTCTTTGAACAGTGGCGGATTTTTTTTTTTTTTTTTTTTTTTTTTTTTTTTTTTTGGGGGGGGGGGGTCAAATGGTCCCCTCTTGAAGTTAGAATTTTCACTAGCTGAATCATAGTTCTAAACCGTACCAAATGGCACCGTTCACCCTCTAAAATATGAAAATTTTACGGGGCACTTCACCAGGCCCCGAACTCCACGTCAAGGGGAGGGGGAGGGGGGTTGAAGGATCGGCTTCGCATCTGCGGAACCCCTTCAAATAATCCTGGATCTGCCCCTGTTTGAAGTAAGTGTTCTTTTCAAATAAAGACATTCAGGCCCGTAGCCGGGGGGGGGGGGATTCGGGGNCCCCTTTGAAATTGCTGGCTACGGGCCTGACATTTGTAGCAACTGCGTCTGTACTGTAACTATGATCAAATAAGCACTATACCGCCTCGTTTGATTTCACTTGAATAATTCTTCACGGGATATATCTATTCAGTGTCTATTAGTGTCTATTTTGGCGGCAAGCTTAGTAGTGCGTCGCCATATTTAAATGTTTTGTCTTAATGTAAGCGCCCATCAACCATAATGTTCAGGGCCCGGTTGCACCAACAGGGCGTAAATTTACTCGGCTACGTCTGTCGTAAACCGCAACGCCTGGCGTCCGTGCGCCAGGTTTACTCTCCCTACTTACGCCCGTTGCACCAAGACAAAAACTGATCGACTTAACTACGCCCGAGTAACGCTCCGTTGCGCCACTGGCCAACAATACGTGGATGGTATAATTGGGCAAATGAGGAGTTCTCAGCTGCAGTCATAATGGAATGATGACATAAATAAACACAAAAGGAACTTTTCAGTGACGGAGAAATTCATAAGCTTCATTATTCAATTTTGATTTATAAATAAGAACGTTAAAATTGCTGTTGCCTTGGATATATAGCAATAAAATCGTAAATTTATTCCGAATCAAAATATTATTATAGTATGCTATTATAGTATGCTGTTGTAAATGAGAAAAACGCGATGGACAAATGTATTCCTGTTAGTAGTGGATTTGAACACCACATTTGTTACTGAAACTTTTGTGACTGAAAATAATGCAAAAATTGCACCTTTAACGACAACATTGCTTTCTTTTCATAGTTTTACAACAGTGTCGACAATTTTATGACCTTTTTTTTCTATGGTTACACCGTGAGGTATCATTTAATTAAACCGTGCTTACATCTTGTAGATTAAGAAATACAAGAGACCTAATACATATTATATGAGCCTCAAATTGTTGATATTCTAAGCTTACGTCTCTGTTTATATATAGTTAAACACACATATATAATTGGTTTTTTAAAAACCAAGCTATACAGACGGAAGTTTTGAGTAAGAAACAAATAACAACCCACATTTTCTACGTTAACTGCGATAATTGTCATCAAACTCTCACTGCATGTACCAGCCTAGCCATAGTGGAAAACGAGCTACGACCGACTTACTCCACGTAGCTAGCAGGCGTAAATTAAGACCGACGTAAACACTACTCCAGTTTGGTGCAACTGGCTTTTCTCGGGCGTAGCATCTTGCGCCCGGTTTACGCCGGCGCAACTGCTACGCCTCACTTACGACCGGTTGATGCAACAGGGCCCAGGTGCTGAGTAATTCCATTTTGATTCTAAAAATATTTATAATGACTTTAAATGTGAAGGTCAAGGATGGCCATATTTGACCAGCGAGGAACACTAATCGCCTCTACATAGGATGTCTCTAAATAAAATAAGTCACTGAAAGGACAGTCGGGCAGATTTTGATAATGATTTAGAAGAAAAAAAATAAATTTTGGTCATTTTTTTTATTAAGAGTAGAGTGGAGCGGAACGCTTAGAAGCTTGCTGACACATCATGCATGGTCGACCCCAAATCAAGTCCATTCGAGATGACCCAAAACTGGCCTGTACAGCGTGAATGAAAGCATCATCCAATTTTTTTAAAATACCGCCCACATTTCTTACATATCCCTAGGCAAAAATTGATAAAAAAGAAATTAAAAGATGTACGGATATCGGATGTTAAATGTAGCCCGGTGTAACGTGACAGAGAGTCCCACATGATAGAGAGTCCGCTTCCCATTCATTTTGTACAGGCAAGCCTCGCCCTAGATTTCAACTCACGTCAGGCTAACCCTAGCCATTATAACTAAAAGGAGGGAGGACTGTCTGTAACACGGATCCTCAGATTTGTTACACCGGGGTTCAGTTTTGCAATTTTGGTAAACTCTAGGGTATATACTGTATCTTGGTAAATGTTGCGCATACCCATGTACAACCTGAAAAATATACTAAGATAAATTCTCTCAGCTTTTATTTATTGCACAACTGTAATTTACTACATTTTTTACTCCCCGCTAAAAACTCCACGGAATCTCGTTTGATTTCACGCTAAATCGCGAGACTTAAGGTTATCTTAGATGAGGAACTGATGACGAAGTCTTAGATTTATTACAAATTGTCGAATCTTCTATGTATCGGCGAGCCAGTCTGTTGATGTACAATTCTAAACGGATGGAGCACATACTAGTACGGTTGTTTTAACACTATAAAGCGCAAGTAGCAATAACATGCATTATTGCCCTAAGGTGCATAAAGACGCATTCAGAACAGTGGACTAACTAGTCCGAGGGTCAAATATGGCGGACCCACTTGAATACTTACCCACGGGGAATCTTTTCAGTGTCTATTAGCGGATTAGATGGCAATATTTTTAGTAGGTCGCCACATTTGGGCCTCGGACTAGTCAGTCCCCGATTCTGAAAGTGCTCTAAGTGTTAAACAGGGACAAATTGTTCTCAGCTCTTCCGCATTCAAAATATTTCCTAGCAGGAGGGGTCTGATACAGGCATCTCAGAACTGGAGGTCTTTGGCGTGGTTTCTCCGTCTATTTCAGGTTTAGCGGAGTTATAACTTGACTCAACATTCCCATCGGTCTTATCGTCCTCTTGTTTCTGACAAAGGTTTGTTCCGGAGCTGTTGCCTGAAGGGTTTTGAGAAGAGGAAGCCTCTTGAATGGATACACGCTCCAATTTCTTCCTAGCATTGGCGTCAATGGAGCGCTTGCGCATTGTCTTATTGACGTATCGTGCAGTCAATAGAAAGAATATAAAACATATCGTGAGAAGTGCCATTAACAGTAGCAGGTAGTAATCCGCTCGCCCTAGGTGTTTTAATTGTTGCACGTCTTCGAAGCTGATCCAGTCTGAAAAATACCAACAGTTTCATTCAATACAAGTAAAAAATCTTTAAATGAACAGTTCATATTCTTGCTGTCTTAATCTTTATATGATTAAAGAAAAAAGCCTAAAGAGACGCCATAGTAATTGTTTAGTTTGGGAATCACTACCCACGTTTATTAGTGTGTATTCGTGTCAGCGTCCTCCGTCAGAGGGGCATTAGAAGCAAAGGATGTATATCTACTCAGAATAAATACTGAGACATTGTCAGGTATTATTTCATACCTTTTTCGTACTTATTCACAAACGCGAGAACCCCAAATGCTGCAAAGTACCCCAGTCCAGTCGCGGTCCAGAAGAGGCCGAGTGCCGTACACCTTAGGCCTCTAGGAGCCCCCAAGAACGCCATCTCCATCCCTAGTGAGAGAAATAAAACTGTGTACCAAATAACTTAGAGCGCGTTCAGAACAGCGGACTAACTGATCCGCGGATCAAATATCAGCGACCCACTTGAATGCTTGTTGTGTAATCCTTGATGGAAATCTATTCAGTGACTAATTGGGAATTAAGCTTTTTAAAGGGTCGCCATATTTGATCCGCGGATCTGTAAGGTCGCTGTTCTAAATGTACTCCAGTAGTAAGTGGTTATCTGGGAAAAGTTTTTCTATAAAAAGTATTTCCACAAACAAAACTAAAATGTAGGTAAAAGAACATGCAAAAAACTGGTAGCAGAAGAGTGTGTATTGCTCGTTTCAGAAATCTACAAGTGTATAATTTTAAACTGAATTACCTAATATCAAGCAAATGGCTGAGTATGAAAGGTATGAAAAGTATAGCCATAACTCAGCCATCCGTGAATTAATAAAATGTACTTGCAACAGACAATCTTGAAATTTGAGATCACCATATATAATTAAACGTTGATATTTTCGCTTCAAGTTAAAACAAAAATAAGAAGTCTACTACATGTAAAAAAAATCCGTCTCACCTGAAACAAGCGTCATGATCTCCCCCGCGCCAACAAGAGCATACTGAGGAAGAAGAATGAAAACTGACAGGGATGCGTTCCCGTTGTGGTCCTTGAAGTCTGCCTTCCGAGCTGTCTCCATGTTAATAGCGAAAAAAGCTGATATCACGGCACAGGCAACACCTATTCCTGAAACGTTGGAATAAAATGGCAAAAACAGTTAATTGATGAGCATTCCTTGTGTGCTTCAGAAATGTGCAACAGTGGCTGATTTCATATTGGATTATTACATAACAAAATGGCTAAACAATTCATTAATAAGTATGGCGGGGAATGATGCACAAATTCAGGCGTCTACAGATAATTGAAAAATCCATTGTGTTAGGTGTGGCACTTTACTGGCGATTGAATTGTGTAAGTGTGCCAGATTCCTGAAGACTGTGCTGCGTGTACCAGTTTACAGAGGATTTCATTTTTAAGCCCCCTTTACACTGGGCAGCGTCCTTTCTGCGTAGTACGGCCCTGTTTGAAGAGTAAAAAAAACAATAATACTTTACGTGCAGACAACTGACCGATCATTTAGCATTCATTTTGAAACCAAAGCGATGCTTGTGCCTCCTTTTTAAGACCACAGCCATGCCTGATTCATGGTTGCACAAAGGAAACAGAAAGGACGGCGTCCGCTGTAAATGGGTTTTTAGGAGCTCAAGTTGTTTGCGGACTTCATTGTGATAGTTTTGCTACTTGGGTGGGCCGTAGGTTGCTTTTTTGTGTTTGGAGTCTGTACATGTATTGTGCAAGGCAAATTAATCTACATGGGGGGTCCCCATGTAGATCAAAGATAGAGAGAAAAAACAACTAAACTTGAAACAAAAATTCGGTTACCCATGCGTGAGAAAAGATCCACCTTCAACTTTCGCCATCGCAATTTGGATTTAAACAAGACAAGAGCTACTATTGTTAAAACGATGACAGTAATGTCATTGAAACTTGTTAAAAAGGTGGAAGAGACCAGGATGTTGGAAGGAGAAGGCAGGAGTGTTGCTTGAAGTGAATATGTTGTCAGCATCTGAAAATAAAGATGAAACACCTATTGCATCCAACTGAAAATGAATTCTAATTATGATAAATTATCCGTTGGAATTCAATGACATTTCACTTTATGTTACAGTTCAAGGTGTTACTTCTAGCATCGAAAAATTTGAATTTGTAGTTTTTGTGACGACCCTGTTGTGCTATTTTCCAAAAAAAAAAAAACCCACACATTTTCAGCCATAATCATTTTAAATGTTAATCTATCCTTTATTTTTATATACTATATTATATGTACAGGATCTAGTATTGAAAAACTTTATGAAATATGACTACAAGACATGAAGTTGATTAAAAGCGAAGGATAAAGTGCAACTGGTAGGACCTGAATGTGTCAGAACGCTTAAAATGTAACTGCAATTAATATTTTTATACCTGTGAATAGATAATACTAAAGGAGAAAACGGAGGAGTTCACAAGAATTAAAGTGACCAGTCGTTTAAAACTACTGGCAGCGCCCTCTCTTCTACGCCGTCTCTGGCCTGTCACATGTCTTTGGCGGTCCTTGGATGACCGCCGCCAACTTTTTATCAATATCCAAACCTCTCCACATGTGGTTAACCCTAGATGTGCGGACAAATATTATGTATTTTATTTTGTCTAGCGTTGTTGAAGGTATAAAAAAATGTAAAAGCGTTCTTTTTCAATGTTTTAGTCTCATTACATTGTTATTTTTCTATAAATTTTATGAATTTTGATTTCTTTAACTCTTGTATTTTTTGTTACTGAATGTCCATGTTTAAAAACATAAGCAGAAAGTTACATGTATGTGATGTCATTACATTCTAAAATTAGTTAAATATATACTCATTTATAACAGATTTCAGTATGCTAAAAAATCTAACATTAAAACATATCATAATTACCTTCTATTTTCTTTTCTATTTTATAGCGTCTCAGTCCAACCAAATATAACAGCAGAGCGGCCAAAGTGGCTGCAAGAGCGGGCCAAAACTGTCCATCCCCCGCAGGCCCAAAGACAAACGTCACCAGGTAGTTCACAAGAAGGGCGCCACAGTTACGTAACAAGTAGAACCTGAATTCAGATAGTATTGAAACTGATCTTGTTGTTACTTTTAATATGTCATATTACAAAAGTATCTTCGCAGGCCCGTAGCTACATGTACCTCCGTAGCAACTGCAAAAGGGGGTTCTATTTCGGAAAATGTGGACCTTTTGTTATGAAAACTTAGTGTGCCTAGATCAAATTTTTCCAGAGTGGACCTTTTCCAAGCAAAAAAGAGGGTTCTTTCGACCCCCCCAACCCCCCTTTGGCAACGGGACTGCTTCTGTTATATGTCTCTACGTACACCATTTGGAAATTGGAAGACTGAAAAATACTGTAAGGTATTGCAGAACTGTAATAAATAATATCAAGGATGTTCATTTTGCAATTTTGCAGTATTCTGATGCCTTAGCTAATTTTTTATCTGTCATATTTTTCAGGGATGGGGTTGGCCTGCCATTTTGGTTTAAAATAAAGGGGAAGGTCACTGCCTATTCCCTATGACCAGCTACATGTAGGTCCAAACTTGAAACTAGAAAGACAGGTCTTCGCTAAGTAATCCCAATCCTGCTTATTGGTTAACTGTAATTACAAAAAAAAAACAATATTAACTGGTCTCAACCAAAATTTAGGTAAACCAAGTTCTGACTTATCCTGAATTTTTTTGCACATAAAAAATTGAGTTATTATCGCACATTTCGGTGGTAATAATGATTACATAGACCCATTCAGAACAGTGGAATAGCTAGTCAGAGGGTCAAATATGTCCGACCCAATTGAATACTTCCCCACTGGATATCTGTTCAGTGTCTATTAGCAAATTAGACAGCAAGCTTTGTTGTGGGTCGCCATATTTGACGCTCGGACTAGTTAGTCCCTTATTCAATGATAACTTACATAAGCATCACTAGTTCACAGTTGTACTCGTTCACAGTCAGCTGCGTTGCTCCCAAAATTGCCAGTGTGGGTGACACACACGCCTCCGCCAACACGACAAACGCCACGGAGGCCGTCGCTAGCGACTTCTTGCTGGTATTCTAAAAAATAGAGTATCAATAAATTCCTTGAGTGTTACTCACAGACGACAATTTGAGCGCATTAAGAACATAGACCGGCGGACCTACTGATTCGCGGACTAAATATGGCCGACCCATCATAAAGGGAAGCCGCTTAATCTCCTTGTGGTCTCACCGCCTCTACACGCGCCATTAAACGGATTAAATTTCGACTCCGAGGTTTTATTACCAGGTCCCCGCAGGGACGGCGCTTATGGAGGCAGGAATACCATCACCTACCGAATCAGCTAGTTGTAAAGATAATTACCCCCTAACAGTTTTACTAGGCGTGACAGACGTTTAAGCCGGTTACTTTGATAGCAATTTAGTGAGACTCCCCAGGGAGATAGATCGATCCAAATATCTGTGGGAATGGGCCCTAAGAGTATATGAGAGGAGGACTATACACTTTCAAGATAAGACAGTAGTTTTCTCAGAGACATGACTAAACTTCAGGGAGATGTAAGTTCTAAAATTAAGTAACATGCATGCTTAAGATTCCCACACCAACCTGTGAATCCACTGTAGATATCTCCAACATCATGGCGCCTACAATGTATCATCAAACGTCATGTAAATGAAAGATAGACTTAATGCGCAGGCGATTTTTCTTTGTCGTTTAAAGTATTCTTTTATTTCATATTGAGATGTTTTTACTATAAAACATCCGATATATATACTTTGTTATCACCGACTTAATTTATGTGCGTGAAATTGCAATTTATACAGAGACAAAAAGAAAATAATGTAATGCATATATAGAATCATATTAGGGGTAGTTTTTAAAACGTTTCTATATACAGTGGTTTTTAATACAAACTAGCATGTCCAACAGACAAAGGTTGGCATGTAGTGCAAAAGCGTTAGGTTCTTAGACCCCATTCCCAGAGCTTAGATCGATCTACTTTAGATCGACCTAACTCCCTGGGGGTTCACGCTTAATAGCTGTCAGCCGAGTTGGCACGAAAGTTAATTACCCCCTTACAGCTTGTAGTAGGCGGGACGGACATTTAAGCCGGATTATCTGACAGTAATCTAGTGAGACTCCCCGCGGGGATAGATCGATCTAAAAGCTCTGGGAATACGCCCTTAGTCTGAAATATCTGCTTAACTAAGTATAGACATTTATCTCTAATCTTATGATTGCCCCACTTTAATGTTACATGAGTATGTCGAGTGTTTCCCGAGCTGTGGGTTATCTAACATTGCCTATTGTTTCAACTAGGCCTACTCACTGGACACCTGCTTCAAGTTACACATTTTGAGTGAAGAAATGCGGATATATCTTATCACAAACTCTAATATGCTACCACATTAACTGCCGTTATATTTTGTTCTTGGTCAATTGCCTGTGTGCACGTTAAGTCAGTTTAAGTAGCTTTTCAAACTAAATGGCTTCTGATATATGGTATAGAGTATATTACATGTATTTTTCGCTACTGCATTTCAACTGTATTTCATCCATCGTTGTTCCATGTAAAAGAAGAAGAAAAAAAACAAGCAAGTACATGAATTAAAAACTTAAAGTGGTAATAGAATATGAAAGAAATGCATGTCCCACTTACCAAGTAAATAGAAGGTAAATCCCACCCCCAGTGTTTTGCGTTTCCCCAGCAAGACATCAGCGATAATTCCTCCGAAGAGCGCAGCGCACTGACCAATACCTGAAAAGGTTCATTTTGGACAAAAAAATGAATTTTTCTGTGGTAAACGACAATTTTCCCTTACTCACCAATGGTAAATGAATCCATACTTACAACCAAATTTAGTACCTGTTTTTTTACTAAAAGGTTTTTTTGTATTAATCTCTTAAGAGATTATTTCAGAGGGAAGCAATCTATGGAAGTCACATGGTCGGATGACAAGCACAGATTTCAGAATAATTGCTTTTAATGCCGTTTTTGGAGAAAACAAAATAGGTTATATTTGTATGAGTTGTTTACAATGTATTTATTGTGAAATATAGATCTCTGTAAGAGTCCTTATCTCTTTAAGTCGTATATGAAGAAAATAACAGTTAATGTATCACTGCATATGTGAAGTCGTCCCAGCAAACTGAAATCTCATCATTTACTTAGCTGTATCAAACAGCACACAGCCGTAGATAGTTGATTTTTCTGGGGCCATAGCAACAGTCACAGGCCCGTAGCCAGCGGGGGTTCGGGGGGTTCAAAAGAACCACCTCTTTTGCTGGGAAAAGGTCCACTCTGGGTAAAATTTGGACTAGGTACAGGTACATTAAGATTTTATGGAAAAAGGTCCATTTTTTTTTCAGAAAAAGAACCCCTCCCCTTTTGAAATTGCTGGCTACGGGCCTGAGTCCGAAGGTTCAATAGTCAAAATGTTCTTTGGTCTGAATGTTCACTATAGAACCTTCGGACCAGTGAACCCTTGATTAAAGAACTGCTGAACATGTTACCACTTTTTCGGACCAATGGACCTTCGGACTATCGAGACCCCCCTTTCAAACTGAGAGCACTTGAAAAAAAGACTTTATGGATTGTTAACTGATAAAAATATTCCTATGGCACATGCATCTAGCTTTATGTGTTTATCCCTGAATACCAATGAGACGCAACCGGCATATTTAATGCGTACTTTCACTTTCGATGCAGCAATGTTACTGCGGTCAATAAATTATATAAGACCTAATCTGAGTCAATTTTATACTGATTTATTGTACTAATAAACACACACGTACTCACCAACAAGCAGCATTCTCTCGAGCCACGCATTATCCATAGTTGACTTTAAATGCTCATGCCAGTATCCCCGCAAGAAAATGCAGTAGTACCGAAGTAGCAAAGAAGCATTAACGCAGCAGTGGTGTGGAGCATATTTGCAGTAGAAATGCAGTATAGCCTACTGCAAATCTACTTCAAAAATTACATGGGGTTGTACAGAGGAGGAGCATTAATGCAGTAGATTAGCAGCATGATAGAAGCATGTTTCAAATATGCTAATTAGCTCCCACATCGAAGCAGATCTGAAGCATGTTTGCAGTATGATTGCAGTAGTCTACTGCGCTGGAGTATCTACTTCGTTTTCGTGCGGGTCCGACCATGTTTTTAACGACGCTGAAATAGGCCACATATTGAAAGAAAGTTAGAACCAAGATAATGATGACTGCGAACGCTCCGCCACGATTATTTGCGTTGCGAAGCAGAGGCTCTTTTTCATCTTGTGTATCCGTCGATTGGACGTTCATGTCAACATCTGACGACTGGTCCATTCTGATTTCTCTACAACGGCGATGAAATACGTTAGGATGGTCTTTGCCTCAAAGCAAACATCATGGTTTCATCTTTCCTCCGCCGCGAACTCTGTTAATTTACAGGTTAATTCATCACCTCCTTGTCAACAGTTGGCCGTGGACTGCGAAGGTTTCAGAACTCTAAGGCCGACCAAAAAACAGCTCTTGATTTAAAAGCTTGTATCTTAACATGGACCAGTGTAATTCCCGTAACTAAGTCTCGTAAAAACGTTTTCCTGGTTCGCATAGCTGGAAACTAGGTCAAGGTGTATCTATAAATAGTACGTTATCGACCATTAAAGAGCAAATGTGTGGTTGTTGCGTACTATAGCAGGGGCGGATCCAGAGTTATTTTCTGACAGTCTTCCAAATTATCTTTTGACCATCTTCCAACAGAAAAATTTAGATACCCGTCAATGTAATCTTGAAAATCTGGAAGACCCAGAAGACGTCCTAAATCCACCCCTGTATAGGACGGAAGAACCTGTGATATCACCCTAGCGTTTATTTTTATAATTAAAGGGATAATAACTCTTCGTTTTGGCCAAAAAATGGATTTTCCTGGAGTAAACAACAATTTTTCCATACTTACCAATGGTTAATGAATCCATTTTTACATTCAAAGTTAGTGCCTGTTTTTTTCTAAAAAGTTTGGTTTTTTGTTAAAATCTCTTAAGAGATTATAGCAGAGTAAAGCCATCAATGGAAGTCACATGGTCTGAAGACAAGCTCAGATATCAGAATAATAGCTATAACTGCTATTTTTGTGGTAAAATAGAATATATTATATTTCTATGAGTTGTTCACAATGTTTTTATTGTGAAATATAAATCTCATACAAAGAGTTATTATCCCTTTAAGATGTTGACAGAGTAGAAAAAAATAGAAAAATAATGAGGACCACAGATAGGACAGCGAGAAAGGGGTGGCGATTAAAAATCCGTTTTTCTCTACACTCCGTGGATGTTTTAACTTGAGGCAAGTCGAAACTTATCGAGTATATGTACTAGTAATGTGCTAATGTTGACTTGGGGATTTTCTCCACTGTGGGGGAAGGGTTGATTTCTTTTTAAAGTTGCCATTCCAGGAAGAGAAGTGTTTGCCTCTTAGAAAAATTAGTTGCTGGACCGAAGGTCTGCCGGGTGGAAAAACTTCTTAGCCCGTTCTGAAAGTTGTCAGCCACGGGCAGACGGTCCAGCCTTAATTTCTAACACTGGAAGAGCGTATTTATTTATTTATTTATTTATTTATTTATTTATTTATTTATTTACAAGCAATATGAAGCATATGAACCAGAACCTTGTGGGCCTAGCTGGTAGTGAGGTAGTTCTTTCTTTTCTGTCATTTTATTTTACGAAGAGTTTGGCGATTGTTTAATTCCCCCAGATTATTTAATTCTCCCGGAACATAGATTGGGTCCTAGCGCACATCAGCGGTTGATGAAGTGAATGTACATGTACAATACACGCTAGGTAGATGAAGACTTCACATTTGCTGATCCATTCAATAAAGGATGTTAGCAAAATGTTATCAATCTTTAATCTTTCCTAAAAAAATTGAAATACACGATGCAGTCCAGGTATTCAATGGTACTGAGCATTTTCAAGTGTTTTAATGTGTTCTTTTCTGGCGAAGGCAGAGGAAGAGGGGGTGCTGAGTCAATGATTTTTCTTGGGGTCCGCCTATGCCAGATACGTTTATATATATAATGATAATAATTCACATTTAAATCCTGCTAGAAATAGCACATTTACACAAGCCGTGATTATATAAAATATAAATTGTATAAAAATCGTGCATTTCAATATAAAAATAATGCAGTCTATACTACAGTATGGCCGTGTGGTTGGCCCTGTTTGCGTGTTTCTTTGAGAAAACATCTTTCTGTACGACTTTATGCTGTACAATTTCTCTTTTGACAGTGTTCTTCATTGGCTTGCATAGTAAGGACAAATTGCATTGGGATAAATGATTGACGGTTTACTAATCACTGCGATATTTCTGATAGCAGAGATAACGTATATCATTGTGCACGGATGATAATATTTAGCTGATACTCTACATGTCGCTCAGCTAAATACATGTGTGGGACTGCATACACACATACATATGGAGTGAGGGAAATAAGTCAAAGCAGTCATCGAATCAGGTAGAATTTAAACAGACTGGATCAATGGGAGTCAAATTTCGGGTGTTAAATTTAGATGCAAATTATTGAGCAGAATCCATCGAGGACTATCTTCAGAGCTATGGAGTCGTCTGAAATTTTAGACCATGACGACACAGTAAGAGAGAGTTACTCTGATTCCAGTTTTGAGAACGTGCCTCTAGTGTTGTCATGGCAACGAACCAATCTTCTTCTCAGTAGCGAGACCGCCAGAACTGTGCTTATAATACTGGTGGCCGCCATCTTGGAATCCGTCGCCTTTTCTGCGGGCCAGGATAGGTTCATCACTTTCTACCAAAGTTTCAGTGAAAATGAAACTAAATCTGATGGAATCAGATACCATTTCTTAAGTTTAGGTATGTCAGATTTTGATAAAAAGGGTGTAATGAAATTGTAGCATTACGGAACTTCACAGATTGTTGAAAATTCGAATTGTGTAGGTTTACCGATAAAATGATGGTTTATCTGCTCACTAATCATTAACTGCTATTTTGAATGGCTGATACAGGGTATGAAATCGATATTAATGCCCTCATTAGTGTCATTCAATGATTTTCCTTTCTGAATTTTGATTTATAATTTTAAAAACATCACTTACAAGTGCATGCAATTCTTAAATCCCATTGAGTGTATGAAGATTATTTAGTGATAGCCACCTCGCACGGGTCTCAACCACACTATTTTTTAGAACTTAAAGAAGGACAGCAGGTTGGAGATTTTATCTTAAATTAAAGGTCTTAGCTGTTTTATTCCCGTTGCATTCATTTAATGTATCTTCATAGCATCTAATTATACTTGAAGCACAGCTTCAAGTTCATTGTGTGACGTAATATTGGGATTTTGGAGCAAAAGACATTCGTTTCCTGATGTTCTCAGGCACCTTGACAGCTATAAACATGCTTTTAATGGTATTATGACACTTGAACAAAGTACTACAAAAGGGATTTGGGATTTTACTTTAAAGACTTACTGTTGAGTTCATCTATAAAAACGTGATTTTAGCCCTATTTGAGTAGCCCCCCTTACAAAATGCACGCCAAATTAACTTGCCATACTTTCGGTCAAAGGTAATACGTTCGTTTCTGCTTTGAACAGTGTTTTACATTTACACGTAGCTACAGCGCATTCAGATCTAGTTGATCCGCGGCCTAACAGAACTGCGGACTAAATATGGCCAATGACTTAAAAGCAGCGCCGCCTAATTCCATGATGGTCTCCCCTCCACCACACACGCCTTCGCTGAGAATCAATGGGTTTAATGGCGCGTGTGGAAGTGGGTGCACCAGCGGGGCATTTAGCGGCCCTGCTTTTAAGTTCGGTCGGCCATATTTAGTCCTGGGATCAGTTAGTCCGCGGGTCCTCTGCCCTGATGCTCTGAATGCGCTCTAGCACTTACATTTCTTCTAGGTGCGAGCTACTGCCTCAGTGCCCTGATCGGGTTGGTTGTGGACAGCATTCTTGGTCCATATGTAACCTGTGTTCTCCTTTATCTGGTGTATATTATAGGTGAGATTAACTCTGAACAAGAACTTTTTTCTCTTTGCCAACGAGTTCACAGTATGTGGTCCCGTTATCTACATGTATAGTTAGACCCCATTCCCAGAGATTTGATTGATCCAACTAGATCGGGCACGTAAGTTAATTACCCCCTTACAGCTAGGCGGGACGGACATTTAAGCCAGATTATCTGACAGTTATCTAGTGAGACTCCCCACGGGGATAGATCGATCTAAAATCTATGGGAATGCGCCCTTAGTCTGTTACCAACATTATGTCGGAATATGATGTAATTTCAGGATAGGTCAAAATGGGCTAAATTTTGGCAGTGAACCATTTATCAATTGAATGATTTTCTAGTTTTATATTATTTAAAAATATTTTCTCAGAGGCGCACAGACATTTGCGTTAATTAAAGTCTTTAAAAAGCAGCGTGAATGAGACTTAATGAATCTTGATATAGACGAACAATTAAAAATTTATTTTGATATTATAGACGTACAATCAAAACAAAACAAAACAAAACAAAACTGTGTACCAAGTATGCTTACTCAACCCTTTTAAATGCGGACATGTTTTTTCATAGTATTGATGTCCCGTTTACATTTGCAGGTATGGTTTTGCTGGAGTTTGCACCGGGAGCGGTAAGTGTATTTAGAAACTTTACTTCATGTGGTTATATCAACCTTTATTTATAGTATCTCTTACTTCATACTTAACCTCGAAAAGCTTGGTAATTTATACCCCGTATATGTAAAACATAGAAAGTTTTGCCTACTTTACAGGTATTATTTATAACGATATTATATATGACACTGAGTTTCAAACACTGGAGTTGCAAAGAACCTCTCGTACCTGTCGTTATTTGGGGACATAGCGATTTCAGTATTTCTTGATTACATATTTTAATTTTCATGAAAATTAATTTTCATCAATTCTACAAATAATCTCTAAGTCTCAGTTTGGCTAAATGTCACAGAGTCTAAAAATCACAACAAATCTTGATTCCTGTTCACAATCACTGCCTCTTGTGTCCCTATAATTTCATTTTTTTTTTGTTTCAGCATGGAGACAAGACGACGATGATGGTGGTCGGGCTGATATTTACAAGTATAGGTTTCGCAGGCATTGAGACTATCCTGCCGATATACGGAGCCGATCAGATACAGCAGCACCTTAAAGGCGTATATATTCACTGGTAAAGTCGACATGCGTGTGTCTGCGTATGTGTGTGTGTTCGCGCGCGCGCGCGAACGTATGTTGATGCGTGCGTGTATGTGTTTGTGTGGGCATACGTGTGTGTGTGTGTTTGTGTGTGCACGTACGTGTGCGTGTGTATGTGTGTGTACGTATGCATGTGTGTGTGCGTGTGTGTGTGTGTGTATGCGTGCTTGTGTTTGTGGCATAGCGTTAGGTGAGACAATGCATATTACCAAAATGGATTTTGTCAGGAAAGTAAGGTTAGCGGTTGGTCAGATTTTTATATTTTGTTTGACAAATACATACATGTGAACTTCTGAATGTGTATTTACTTTGTATTACCGCCAAAGCTGATGGAAAATATTCATTTGTTTCATTTTTTGTTCAGCGAAAATCTGAGTTTACGTACAATGCTAACGTGTTTCAGTATTGTTTCGTTTCAGGATTTACCTTGGACAAAATCTGGGGATAGTAATTTATAACATAATGAGCATCCTGGTGAATTTACTGGGCGACAAGAAACTCTTCGAACAGATTCTTCCCGGCACCATCGGCATTGTGCTGTCTTTCCTGGTTTTTCTCTCAGGGTCCAAGTGGTATTCAAACAGTAAACTGAAAAGTAAGACTGATTGCGTTAGTTGTGACGTGGATTGCTTTATTGGTTGTGCTGGGTGTGAGCACGTTCTTTTTTAACCACTTTGACAACAACACGTTTAAATCAAGCAATTTAAAAGAGGTATAGTGTACAAAGTGCCATTGCAGTGTTAAAGGCATGTATTTCAATTTCTGTCTCCCCAATAGCTCAAGCGAAAATCTAAGTGAAGGACGAGCAAAAATATGGTATTCGAAATTTGGCCTTTTATTGAACGGTCCCTCCAGTAAAAGAATAGTGTAAAGTTATTATATGCCATTAGATAATGTTGAGTAAATAAAAATTACGTAATTTTATAGCATGAATAATAAATATCCAAACAAATAGTGCACATATTTTCATTTGTTGGATTGCAAAGAACTTCTCTTTGTTGAACCAGGTGATCGGTTACTGGAGGTTGGCAAGGCCCTGGCGTACAGGTGTGGTCTCCGCCGAAGACCCTCGAATTGGAAGTCTTCCAACAGCTCATATTATGTGCGACAGAAAAAGAATATATCCATTGCAAAACAACTTATGCGGATAGTTTTAGTGAATTCATCCGTGTTTGGATTTAGCACCATTGATGCCAAGGTACGTGACTTCCATAAAATATATGAAGGGTGCTTACGGAGATACCGATCTAAATAAGTGCATCAACATCTATGGCCGGGTTCCCATTCCTAGATCAATCTAACAAGATCGATCTATTTCTGATCCACCCATCTTCTCAAGCTGCTTAACGATAATTATTACCCCTAGCAGCTTCAGTAGGCGTGACAGACATCTAAGCCGCTTAAGTTGAATGCAATTTAACGAGAATCCCCTCGGAGATAGATCGATGGTCCCTTTGTCTTATTAAACAACATATTACAAGTCGGGATGAGGGGTGGGGGGTCGGGAAAAGAAAAGTGACGGATGTGACTCTTTTGTCTCTCGCTTTGTTTTGTAAAGATATAAAAAGCAGACTGCAATTTTAGTATAATAGTAGGGTACAAGGACGAGGAATGTGCTTGGTTTTTTTCTCGTTTTACTTGTCAAACTGTCTTTTGGTTAGGGAGTAATGCCCAGCAAACACGTCACGTTCGGATCACGTGGCTAGACGTTGCTATGACGTTATAATGTGGTAACAACGTGCTAGCCACGTGATACGAACGTGAGGTGTTTGCTGGGTGGATACATCCGAAAGTGGATATATCCACTCACCATCCATTCACTTTACCCTCTCGAACCCCCTGATCCGCCAATGTAATGTACCAACCACTATCACGCCCTTCTTTCGAATGTATCAGGAAAAAGCATGTCATCCTTAAATTGTAAGATTTGTTGAGGTTATGTGTAAAGAATGACCAAGTATAACGATCATTTTTTAAAATAGGTTTCGAACGCTTATTACGTCCAGCAAGGCGGATTAAACTCTGTTGTGGAGGGTGCAGATCTGACCAATGACTATCCAGTAATGTATTATCTGCTGTATTCTGCGGAGTTGGCCGCCATTATTATCGTAATCCCCGTGTTGGTGATTTGCATCTATCCGGCTCTTTACAGGAGAGGATACATGATCAAATATTTCCCACGGATGAGTAAGTAATGCAATGGCGATTCAGATTGTGACAGGTGTGCTGTTCAATTGTGTTTGGGTGTGACGCAGCTGTTCAACCTTGCAGTGGACAGCTGATGCTAGTGCAATAAACGTGATATTGAAAAACAAAAAAAAAAAAAAAAAAAATAGAATTTTAATTTGAATTAAAATAATTAAGCCCATTAATATTAAGACTGAGAGGGATTTTTAAAAGATATTGTTGAAATGACTTAAGACATCCGCGTATTCTAAAATGATTCTCTGTTTTCAGTTCACATTAATGTGTGATAAGTTTAATGACATGCTTACAATGGACTTCTTTGTCCCACAGGTTTAGGGCTATTTTTTGCGGCGCTGTCTATTGTAGCTGCTGTAATCCTAGAATACCACAGGCAGCAAGACTGTCAACAGAACAACGGCAATGCCACCCTCAGTGCCTTCTGGCAGGTACCGCAGTACTTTGTGCTGGGGGTGGGGGAGAGCCTGACGTATGTGACAGGTATGACGTGTTCCCTCGAGATTGGCCTATTTCCAACAAACCACGTGACGTCATTTTGAATTTCCCCTGGTGGGAAAATGATCAGAATAAACCCAGACCCTTAGTGCTAATTTTATCTAATTTAAATTATAAAATACTGTAGATCACACTCAGTGACATCTGGCGGTAAATGTGCATTTTGGCTTTTTTATTCATTCAAATAGTGTTTTTTTAAGTAAAAAATGGTGGACGCATGAGATAAAGCTATTACGGATGTTCACAATATGGTTGTTTTTTTAATGTGGACGCCGAGCACACGTATCTACGATGAATTAACCAAAAAAAAACGTGTGCAGGAATTGATGCATGAACTTTTTGTAACACAGTGAGAAATTGAAAAGAAATTTAATTAAAAAAACAACGCCTGTTTGTAAAAATGTCATTAAAAGAACAACTTTTTCAATATTTGCTGTTTTTCCAGGGATCGAGTACGCCTACCTGGAGACCCCCCGTGGCCTGCGGTACCTGGCTATGGGGCTGTACAACCTGGCGTACGGCTTGGGCGTCCTGGCAGCGGTACTGATTACCGTGATCGTCACTAAATACAGACCAGGTACCGGTACATGTGTATCACTCTCTACCAGGGACACAAAGAGATGGTTGTCTCTAGATTTCCATATATATTTATCTGGTTTTTTTTTCGCATTTTCCGAACTCTTGCATTTTTTTTTTTTTTTTGATAAAAATGTTGTCATCACCCGGCTGGACAATGGTAAAGGGTTAATGTATGTGGTGTGTTAAGAAGACAATTTAACGTTGGGTTAATATGATAACGAAATCATTACAATATACAGTAATGCAATAAACTGAATCAGATTAATTTAATTGAACTTATAATTGTATCTTATCTTACTAAATTTAATAAAATTGAATTTTGAATTGAAGTGAAAGACACAAATAGGAAGAACATTTACATTAAAGTCTGTGAAGATAGATATATATATATTTTTTTGTTTCTTTATAGAATGGTACCCCCAAGACCAGGCCTTGTGTCCACTAGGAAAACATGGAATCCAGAATTTTCTTCTTATCTTACTCTTCTTACTCTGCATCCTGTTGGTGTGCTTTGTCAGTGTCGCTCTCATAGTCCGGAGACAAAACCGCTCGAAGGATTCAGAGGATGATGAACACAGTGGACCTATTTACATACGAACCTCTGCCTCGTGGATGAGGAGCACGTCCAAAGACGAGACAATGGTGATAGGGACGCCGTCGTATAACGGTAGTTCAAGTGACCGAACATTTTACTGAAAAAAAAAAGCATCTATAGCGCAAGCCTCAGTTTCACAAAAAACTGAAGTCCGTTCCCTGGCTAAGTTGTGAGTGTTGGTACACTGCTTCTGATAGGATAAGATGGGCCCATGTGACCATGCACGTGACTTTGGTGATTTTAATTAAAATTTCTTAGCCTGGGAACCTGACCTGATTTTATTTATTTATTTATTTATTTATTTATTTATTTATTTTGTGAAACCGGGTCCTGGCCTTAATTTGTGGTCGACTATGTACATGCCGTACACAGTATGATAGCTAGTGAACATCATACATGTACAATAATCAATTAAACCCCTAATTTCCAGAGGGACAGCAGACCACTGGTTTGTGGAACATGTATAGGACCAAGCATGCTTCTAAGAAATCATTTTGACCCAACAGATATACATGCAGAACTTCGCTAGGAATGGACCAGAAAACTGCAGGTCCTTCATATATAGGCATGGCTGGTTCTCTGATGAAGCGAAAATTTCTTCTTCATTGTAAAGGCCTTTCTTTTTTCTATGTATAAATAAAATGCTGCAAAATGATTCAAATTAATGTTTTTCACCTACATGTATCTGTGGAACAACACAGGAGCAATATCCGACATGTCTGTCATCATATGAATATACTATCTTTTTAGAAATGAACATCTTCATAAAGTAAGAATAAATTAATAAAATATAGTTCCATCAGAATACCGCTATGCAGCCTGTAATACGATATTTCAGTGTGTGTTTCATTAAAAAAAGAAATAAAATAAAATGAGAACACCCTTTCCCCTTGCGGGCTCCTATAGTAACAGAAAGCATTGATTTAGCCAACTGGATTTGTTGTAAATGTGTCTTTATAATATTTGGGAGGTTAATATTGAGATAGTTTTAAGATTTTTATAGGAATCATTTTATCCATATTCCAATTAGTAGAGACATTTAAGTTACAATAATGCAATTTAAACGTCGACTGGGAGTGTGATGGCGTAGAAGGGGTTGTCTTCCAGAACGGATGTAAACAAAGATATCCCCAAACTTCGGCGTCAACGCTTCAAATATGTGAGGATGATTGTTTACAGGGGGTGACAAAAGTATTGGACCGTATTGTTTGAAGGTGGAAAACAGCTTGGTTTGCTAGTTTTTTCTTTGTTTTGTTGCAATCGGTATTTTATTGAAGACTGGTTATGTCAAGTTAATATCTTAAGGTTTACAGACCAACGTTTTTTGCCCTGACATAACGCATGTTATTATGTCGGTATTTATGTTTTGTAGGATTGTCACGTGACCTCAATAAAACCCTGGCCCTGTGGGTTGTGGCGTTATCATCTTGGAAAATGCATTGATGATTCCTGTCCCCAAATATGTTTTCTACCGATGGTAAAAAGATGCTCGCCCCGATTGTGAATGCAAAGCTCGTGGTTCAGGTTTCTATGGTTCAACACCAGTTCACTAACCCCCTAGAAACCAATGCACTCCTAAGCCATGGCCATTATTGAAGTGGACTGTCTAGCTAGGAAATTCATGTTCTCAGGCATCCAAATAAGAAATGGACGATGTTCTACATATTCTCACTTCTCCACAAGCGTTTTTAACGGTGAACATGGTCTAAAAAAAATGGCTCCAGTTCTGATCTAGGGTCCATGCTACCCTCTACCAGGGCGAGTGATAGATTTTTTACAGATATTCACAGATATGTCTCTAGCTAGATAGATGGTCATTTAGGGCTGAACTCAGCCCTAAATGACCATTTATCTAGCTAGAGACATATCTGTGAATATTTGTAAAAAATCTATCACTCGCCCTGGTAGAGGGTAGGTCCATGCAAGGGTTCTTGCATCCCATGTCGCTCTTCTTCGCTTGTTTACCAGGTTGATAAGTGTTTTTTTCTTGGCAACCCTGGTGTGAATTCCTGTAAAATGGAACTTTCTTTGAACAGTTTTTTACTCGACCAATGCAAAACTAATTCGCTGCACGGTCGAAGCTTCGAAGCCTTTACAGCATAAAAAAAGGCACCTGTTGTCTTTGGCACTAGTCTTCTTTTGTCGGCCATTTCTTGGTGACTTACGGGCATCACCAGTCTCCTCCTACCTTCTGCAAACTCTGTATACAGTCTAACCAGGCTCACAATATCTGGTTGCTATCTGGGAGACATTTATACCCTCGCTCCTCCCTCAGACAAACAATTTCTTATCTTTCTTCATGTGTGAGCTTCTCCACCTTCATCGCGACATGAACCTGACAGTCAGAAGGACATTTATCACCTGTTACGCGAGCAATAAACCGCAAATCGATTTTCATGAACGAGTCGTCCCCGATGTCACATAACGCTCTATTCACACGGACGGTGCAACACTTTTGTCACCCCCTGTACTTTAGAATTATACGGTACAATTGTTTGCTTATTTGCAGTTATTCACATCCACTTTTATCGACAAAATCTATAAACGCATCGTATATGTAGTTATTCATGTCCACTTTTATCGACGGAATCTATAAAACGTATATAAAGTTTTATATCTCAAACGAAGTCAAGGAGAGCACAGATGTCATTAAAATCGAGTTAAGACGCAATAAATCTCTGTACGGGGACGCTTTATGGGTATGCAGACCCATCTTGAAGACCTCTCGGACACTTTACCTGCGTCACCAAGAACACACCTTGAACTGAAGAGTATGTTGACAATCAAATGATGTGCAAATACCGGTTGTATTACTGTATTTATATAAATTATATCTGGAACATAGGAATAGTTTAAAGTTAAGGCGGACGTGAGAAGAATTTAATAACAGTAAGGATCGCGCCAGTGATTTTATTTTTCTGAACAAGTCAAAAAGGTAACGGGGAAAATAGCAAATAATGATTTCATTTTGAATTTAGTTTATCTTCTTGACAGAGTTTTAAAAATTGTATTTCACACTTTGTAAGGTTAAAAACAAGTCTTTATATATTTGTACTAGAAGATGTGACAGAAAAACTAAGTAAGGTAACATTTCTATCCCCTTTAACAAATAATAAACAGTGATCTTCTAAGTGGAAGTAAATGAACTTTTTGACATCTCTTGATTTTTAATTGATGCATAACGTTCCATATTTTGTTACAGATGAAAATTACAGCAATATTAGCTTGTATTGCAATGACTGGCATACTTGTTCTAAAGTACAGCGAGGCACGTAAGTAGCATTGGTATTTGAACCGAGGGAGTTGTTTTTGAGCTGTCTCTATTCATTTATCCAGACTAGGAAAATCGGTTGGTCAAAGTGTTTTTACATTGTTGGATATGAGGCACAACCAAATTAAAGGAAACATTACGAATATCATAATATTCTAAACAATAAGTGTTTGTGTAATTCAAATAGTACGTTAACTACATCTGCAAATGACCTTTATCCTTCTTTTAAGGATTATTTCTGTCAAAAACGCTAAACGGGTTGTCAAAAATACGAGCACAAAGTTAAGCGTTGTTTAAAATCTTATACTTGTACTAGGTTCTACTTGTATTCATTATGAGACCCCGTTCCCATACCTAGATCAATCTAGCACGATCAGCCCATCTCCAAGGGGTTTCTCGCTAAATTGCATTCAGTTTAAACGGCTTAGATGTCTGGCACGCCTACTTAACCTGTTAGGGGGTAATTAACTATCGTTTAAGATCTTAAAAGTTGACTTTATCGAGGCACTCGTTTCCTCGTATCTACATGCACTATGTATATTATTCTTCCCCTTCTATGACAGTGTTATGTCGTCACCCCCTGTATTTCACCGGTTACAACTGCCTTCGGAAACAGACCGACTTCAACCCCCAGACATGCTACATTTCCCCGGCAAACCCGCCTGAGAGCCAGAAACCCACGTGCCAAAATGGCGGCAACAACTTCTGGTACATCCACGTGGGTGGTAAGCGCACAGACTGGGTTCAGGGAACGGACGCCATGTGTTTGTCTATCTCGTCTTTCCCTGCACCATGGGGTACGAGAGAGTGCCAGTTCAGCTGGACCGAAGAAGGATGCAAGCAGCTGTTGCACTGGGCAGGCTGCATCCCATGGACAAGTAAGAAAATCTAACCAAACTAAAGAACTTTTATGTATTTTTAGTCCACATGGTTTCAGTATTTTTTAAAACAGTGTTAGGTTGTCACATCAGGCAGTTTCCAAAAGTGTAACCTCCACCTCCATTTATTTTGAGATAGGGATTGGTCGGTGCTTACTGTAAACAAGATAAAACATTCGAGATATTTATGGGCCAATTTACAATCATCCATATGTATAAAAGACTTCTGGAATATTAAGATATCTCTTTATTGTTTTATTGAGTGNGTTGACTTTATCGAGGCACTCGTTTCCTCGTATCTACATGCACTATGTATATTATTCTTCCCCTTCTATGACAGTGTTATGTCGTCACCCCCTGTATTTCACCGGTTACAACTGCCTTCGGAAACAGACCGACTTCAACCCCCAGACATGCTACATTTCCCCGGCAAACCCGCCTGAGAGCCAGAAACCCACGTGCCAAAATGGCGGCAACAACTTCTGGTACATCCACGTGGGTGGTAAGCGCACAGACTGGGTTCAGGGAACGGACGCCATGTGTTTGTCTATCTCGTCTTTCCCTGCACCATGGGGTACGAGAGAGTGCCAGTTCAGCTGGACCGAAGAAGGATGCAAGCAGCTGTTGCACTGGGCAGGCTGCATCCCATGGACAAGTAAGAAAATCTAACCAAACTAAAGAACTTTTATGTATTTTTAGTCCACATGGTTTCAGTATTTTTTAAAACAGTGTTAGGTTGTCACATCAGGCAGTTTCCAAAAGTGTAACCTCCACCTCCATTTATTTTGAGATAGGGATTGGTCGGTGCTTACTGTAAACAAGATAAAACATTCGAGATATTTATGGGCCAATTTACAATCATCCATATGTATAAAAGACTTCTGGAATATTAAGATATCTCTTTATTGTTTTATTGAGTGTAGCCATTGACATCACTAGTGCCTCTAAAGTACTTTCCCGACATTAAATCAACTATTTCTCGATATAATAACAGAAATTATTTTCTCTAAGGGACAGTTCACATGGAAAGTCTATTTTCTAAAAATCTATTTTCTATTCGCGGTATCTTGTGATCACGGTCTGTGCCCTGAATATCCCGCGGCGTAATTACTGGCAGCGCGAGCCAGTTACTTCCGTGATCACAAGATACCGCGAATAGAAAATGGATTTTTAGAAAATAGACTTTCCATGTGAACGGCTCCTAAGATTTCTTTCTTGTTATCACTTCAGGTCCCACGTGCTTCGACTGCAACAGTGCCTGGGACGTGTGTGACCGGCGGGGTGTGACTGACCCCTCTCTTGTCGCCAAGACTCGCTGTCCCGGCACCGGCGCCTGCTTCACGAGGAGGGACAAAAACGGAAGTAGGTTACGCATGTGCATAAAGTCTTCAATAATGCAGGAAATGAGATCTTAAGCCCCTTTTACACTGGACGGCATCCTCCCTGCGTCCTGTAGGTAAAAAAAAACTTAACGTGCCAACAACTGGCCGATCACTAAACATCCAACCAACCGATGCTTCTTCTTCCTTTCTACGACCACAGCGATGCCAGTTTCATGGTCGCAGAAAGATCGCCGTCCATTGTAAAGAGGGTTTTAACATGGTAGCAATCAAATGGTTTGATGTTTCATAGTAAATGTTTTGTTATGGTGTTGTATAGTGTACCAAAAGCATTAATTGAAAATCCAGTTGTTTTCGCCGTATGAAGGATGAGGTAAATCCATTGGGAATGGATGTCAAATTGTAATTAACTGCAAAATGACCATCCTCTAACGGTTTTTGATATATGTCTCTGCATTTTATGCATATATTTTGCAAATTACAAAAGAAAAATTGATTCCTTAGACAATAATATATGGTTGTTCGGTTCTGGAAGACGTATATTAACTGCTTGACAAAAGAATTGCAACAAAAAACGTACCCTGATAAAGGTTTTATTATATCTTTACATCATTGTTCTCTGAATGTATGTTTGTGTAAGTCTCTCGTATTTTACTCACTTTTCAGTGGTATACAGAGGCTGTGCCGATGGCTGGGACTATCTTGCTGACGTCACAACAGCAATGGGCCCCGGAGATGCCACCTGCCTTAATGGCGGCGGCTACGGCAGCTTCGTAGATCGCTGGTGTCTCTGTAAGGGGGAACTCTGTAACGGCGGTGCAATGCCTGCTGCATGATAGATAGAATGCTCCTCTATTCCTTACTGGTGTCCTTAATTTTGACTTGATTGTTTTGTTTATATGTGAAATATTTTATAGACAATCCACTGACGGATTTAGTGGCGGTCCTGACCCCCCCTTCAATTTCTGGGGAAAAAACATCAATGCCCCCCCCCCCCTTGATAAGCTTAATCATACTTCTAAACCGTACCAAATGGCAGCGTTCGCCCTATAAATAACCAAAATTCTAGGGTCCCTTCAAGAGGCCCCGAACCCCACCCCATGCGTCCGCGGACCCCCCCCCCCTCAAATAATCCTGGATCCGCCCCTGTAATCATCGTCTTTTAGAAATTAGGCCTACATGAACTAGGTACATTCGGCCGGTTCGTGAAATAAATGTATCATATTGGCCTAGATCTGAGCCATGTAGAATGTAGACTTAGCACAAGTCTCAAAATTTCTGGTATGTAATACTTCAAGTGATATGGATAGCTCCTAATTGAATGTTTCATTATTTTCTGCCAATCGTGGCAAATATTAATTTTAAAAACCTATACTAAGGAAATACAACACGATGTCATTTGCACTGTTTATGGAATAATTTCTTTAAAATATCAGTTTTACTGCTACAAAAGCAGAAATAGATAAATGCTTGTTTGTTCTTGAACACAATAAACATGATAAGTATTAAATAATTAAAGAAAAATAAAATTTATCGCAGCTTATGTCAGCACACTAGAGATATACATTTATAAGACTATGAAGAATAACGTCCTGCAATAATGAACTTAATCTAAAAACTATAGCAGTGCAAATAATTGATTATAGAGTTTGGTTCCCTCATTTCCCTAAAAAAGCTCAGAAATGAAAACCAGATAAAACAAGAATAGAAGACCTTATAAAACATGAAATAAACCCAAATATCACCTATTTTTATACATGCGTGAGCGTTAATGTATTGTACAAAAGAAGAAAATCTGTTTCAGCCCAAACCGCATTGACGCAGTTTCACTTCTTCTTTCAACCTTTTAATACGACACCGGAGCCTCCTGAAGAATACGCCAACAAATGCGTTTATTGTGTCGTTGTAATATGAGATTTTCTGGTAAAAATAGACCGATGTACTTATTTTTAGCGGGCGGATTCATCAGTCTCACCTTACTGTTAGCGGACCCTTGTTTGTTTACACTTTGTGCGATGTATTTAACTGTACAATGCCACCTGTTTTTTGGATCAATAAAAATGCTCGTCTTTGCGTCTTTTTGTTGTCCTTAATTCAATACTATTGCTGTTTAACGTACTCAAATAAACACCTTCATTTTGAATCTTCTGTATACACTTTATGCTAAACACATTTCTTTTAAATGTAGTAAAATATATATTGAAATGCATATTTCACATAAGCTAAATTAGCTGAAATAAAAAACACATGCCCGAACACACACTTACACATTTTTTATTCCAAAACTCAGAATTGCGAGATCTTTAATGTTTTAGTGGGCAATGTCAGAATGTTTTTTTAAACTTAAAAGTTACTATCATAGTTCTTTTATAGTGCATGTGCAATGAAACTTGGCGTTGCAAAAGTAATTATTATTTTTTGGTTATTCTTCTCTCTCTCTCTCTCTCTCTCTCTCTCTCTCTCTCTCTCTCTCTCTCTCTCTCTCTCTCTCTCTCTCTCTCGCTCACACACACACACACACACACACACACACACATTCATTTCCGAACAAAACCTAAAAATCATCCACAGGAACATCTAACCAGTATGGTAGCTATCGTATCCATAGTGGCGGGAAACAGAGTCTAGAGATACACCATATATATATATATATATATATATATATATATATATATATATATATATATATATAGCCT